AGTTTTCATCCCTTGAAAACATCTGCCTGTTTTTCTTCCCTGTACTCAGAAGTTGCATCCGTCCCTCCCTGCCTGCCTGACTTATCCTTCATTCATTCCTTCACGTCAGAGGTTACCCATCTGTACAAGATTTGGGGTGGCGTACAACATAAAAAGCAACAACTAAACAAGAGGAAAAATGTTCACATCTGGAAGAAAGAAGATACTTAATCAGATTAAATTCTACAGGGACTCAACAACACCCTACCCCAAGGTCTGGGGGTACAGCCAAATTTTCAATGCTTTTTGGAACATGATTATGATGGGAGCCCCAAAGATCTTGAGGGGGGATTCTATTTTAGAGGGCAGGTGCATCATCACCATGAAGCACCCTAGCTGCCCAAGATTTCCAGACTGAAAAATTCCCCTGGAAGGAAGGAAGGAAGTCTGGTGTGTTTCCCTGAAATTCAGTAAAAAAGTGGGTGACCAAACCAAGGGTCACATACTTAGAGACAGGACACTGACACACCTTTCCAGGTGCTTTTTCACAAAATACAACCCAACTTTCTATTCAGGAGAACTTCACTGATATTCTCTTTCCTTCTGGAAGCCAGTTCTTTTCCATCAAACTCCATAAAGGAGAAGGATACCCCAAAAAAACTGCTGAAGAAACAGTCAACTCAATTATAATCTGTCTACCCTACTAGAAAAGGCTGGTCTCTGAAACATGACACAGCCATTACTATTATTGAAGACAACACCAAGCCAAAGGTGCTGATGACCCACTGGGTTGGAAAGTGCCCTTTAATATTTCTATGCATCTACACAAAGAAACCCCTGCAGATCCATACCAAGATCCAAGATTGTCCTGGATTACAAAGACAGTGTGGTTCAATCAAAGTGTTCCTCTAGGAATAAGCCTCCAGATCTTCCATCCACACACGTTAGAAGGGGATGAAGGGAAAAGAAGACATTTCCTTGTGCTTTCAATCTAAACAAAGCTGAAAAAGGAGCAGCTCAGTGCTGACGGGCAACCTCTTCCCCATGGAGGCTCATTGTCAAGAAATGTCACAGCAGCTACCAAAAAAAAAAAAGATAAAGAGAGAAGCAGCACTTCTCCAACTGTTTCCTTAGCAGGAACCTCGTATACAAGACAATTTCAATGCAACCCAGCTAGAGGCGGCAAGAGAAGCAAATGCCCTGACATTAACTGGCTTGTACTTCAAAGGAATAATCATATCATCATTCCTGATGCACTGACTGGATTTCTTATGGCAGCAGCCTAATCAAGCTCAGTGCAATTCCACCTTTGATCAAAACACTTTCAAGATTGCCCGGGCAAGGGTAGGAAAAAGAACGATAAAGAGACACACGTCACACTGTTCTATTATTAACATCTCATCTTTGTCGGTGATCCTGCAAGCGTGACATCCCGTAAATTTTGACCTGGTATTTATGGGAGAAAACAGGACAAACATATGTTTTCCATGGGAAACATCTACCTGGCCATAAAGCTCAGATGAATGAAGGAGTTTCAGGCTTCCAATTTATTTAATTTATTCCTTTATCAGATTTGATACCTGCTTTTCATTTTAATCCAAATGCTGTAGCTAGAAAGGCATGGCTTCAACTGAAACAGAGACTCGATGCACACTTCCTAATTCTTCATGATCACAAATACACCTGGGAAATCTATTTTATCAGTGGGGAAGAACCCAAAAGAGCCTGTTTGGTGTGGTGGTTAAAGGCACCAGGCTAGAAACTGGAAGATTGTGAATTCCAGTTCTGCCTTGGGCACAAAGCCAGCTAGGTGATTTTGAGCCAGTTGCTCCTTCTCTGAAGGGAATGGCTAGCCACTTCCAAAAATGTTGCCAAGAAAACTGCAGACACATTTGTCCAGGCAGTCCCCAGAAGTCAAGACTTGTTCAAAGGCACCAAAAGGAAGGAAGGAAGGAAGGAAAATGAAGGCAAAGATAGTAGAATATCCACACTTTCATCAAACTGATGTTGTCTAGTCATTAAACAAGCTTTGGGGCTTTCATGCCAGTTTGCAAACTGTCTGTTGGACCAATAAAGTTTTAAAAATCCATTTTGCTTCTAATGCTAATTCTAATAAGTTAAGAACATCAATGCTGCAAGTTAAGAACATCATGGATACTTAGCGGCATTGACATTAGGAGCCACTGAGTCCAAGTGTAAACCAGGTGTAGACAGTGTGCAATTCTAGAACTCCATATAATGCTCAAAACTCATGTTCACCCTGTCTTATTGGTAACACCCCCAAAAAACAAAAACAAAAAAACCTGTAGCATAATACCTATTTAGTTCCTGGGATCACAATTAGGCTTAGCTGCTGATGACTACATAGACAAATGCTCACCATAATTTAAGGACTAAAGGAGGTCTAATGAGATTTTAAAGAAAGCTAAAACTTATCTTGCCCCACCAGGAAAAAAATAGTAAATCCCCCTTCAAATAGACAATGCTGCTCCAGCTACTTTGAGACCCCCCCCCCCCCTCTGCCTCCCCACCCCCTCTATAAAAATTAAAAAAAATCTTTTGTAAAAAAAAAATATTATC